ATATAATACCAACTAAATTAAGGCATGACCAAAGATATTAGTTAGCATTAAACTAAACAGTACTCTTAGAAAGGAAAGGTAGCTAAGTCACTCTCTGTGCAGAATTAAAATGCGTATAGAATGCCAATTCAAAAATTGTGCATACTTTATAAATATGAAAGAAAATTTGATAAAACCTACTTTTAGGCCAGTTCAGTTTATTTGATCTGACTACAAAGCAAGGTACACACATTTGCGTAAAAAAAATGCACACAAAAAACACATGCACTTGCATGTGTACACGTGCACACACACACTCGACACTCGTGCAAACGCGCGCACGAAACACCACAACCACAACACACCCCACAACACAACACCCACAACACACAAACTCACAACACACACAACACAAACACTCCACAACCAAAACAACCACAACAACAACCACACACAACCACAACACACACAACCTCAACACACACAAACCACAACACACCCAAACACACAAAACTCCACAACCACCAACACACACACCACAACACCACACAACCACAACACACACAACAACTACACACACAACCACATCAACTCACAACCACAACACACAACACACACACTACAACCACAACACACACAACCTCTACACACACAAACCACAAACACACAAACCCACAACACACACAACCAACAATCACAATATATTCAAAAAAACACATGTGAAAGCAAGAACAGGGCTTGAGGCCAATTAAACCTTTCCCTCTCTCAAAAACTTGGGGGAAGAGGAGAATAACAGATGGGACATGTTTACATCTAAAAGAAAAGAAAATTCTGGAATGCCAGATTGAGACATTTAGTAATTAAAAAAAAAAAGTATAATTATTATTATTTATGCCCTTACTATTGCTTATACTGTGTGTGTACCATTTTGTCTAAGTTAATATGGGGAAATGGGGAAGAATCTCTCCTCAGTAAGCCATGCATGTCATAAGAGAAGACTAAAATGCTGGGAGCAAGGGGCTAGTAACCCTCCCCTCCTGTATAAATTACTAAATGTAAAAACAAAAACTATGAAAAAGTTTTCTTTTTCAGGTCAGCCTGCCTTGGTAGGACATGGCTAGTTAAAAAAAAAATCTAATAAGGAAGTTTTCATTTTTTCATGGATTTAGAAAAAGCATATGATAGGGTGGATAGGGTAGCAATGTGGCAGATGTTGCAAGTGTAAGGAATAGATGGTAGGTTACTGAATGCAGTTAAGAGGTTTTATGAAACTGGTGAGGCTCAGGTTAGTGTGTGTAGAAAGGAGATTATTTTTCAGTAAAAGTAGGCCCTAGATAGGGTTGTGTAATGTTACCATGGCTCTGTTTCACATAAATTATACGATGGGGGATGTAATAGGAAGTGAATGCTAGGGTGTTGGGGAGAGGAGTGATTAAAATATGCAGAATGTAATACAAAATGGGAGTCGTCACAGTTGCTTCTTTGCTGATGACACTGTGCTTTTGGGAGATTCTGAAGAGAAGTTGTAAAGGTTGATCAATGAATTTGGGGGAGTATGTAAAGGTAGGAAATTAAAAGTGAACATAGAAAAGAGCAAGATAAGGGTAACAAATGAGTTAGCAAATGAAGACTGGATTTTAGATTGGAAGGAAGGAATATTGAGGAAGTGAACGTGTTCAGATATTTGGGATGGAGTGTCAGCAGATGGATCTATGAACAACAAGTGGTGAACCATAGAATTTGTAAGGGAAAAAAAAGGTGGGTGTGGTGATGCACCAAGGCATCTGTGAAGACAACATTATCTAAGAGGGCAGAGGGGAATGTATATACAAGTATTGTGGTACCAACACTCTTAATGTGGGTGTGAAGCTTGGGTTGTGAATGCTGCAAATGTTGCAGTGAGGAGATGGTTGGAGGTTGTGGTGGATATCCATGTCCAAGGGCAATGTTGTTTTTTTTTTTTATTTATCACAATGGCGATTCCCACCAAGGCTGGGTGGCCCGAGAAAAACAAAACTGTTCTCCATCATTCACTCCATCACTGGTACTAGCCCGGAAGGGTGCTTTACACTACAGTTCTTAAACTGCAACATTAACACCCTCCTTAGAGTGCAGGCACTGTACTTCAATCTCCAGGACTCAAGTCCAGCATGCCGGTTTCCCTGAACCCCTTCTAAATGTCTACTTTGATTCACACTCCAACAGCACGGTCAAGTATTAAAAAACCATTTGTTCCTTTCACTCCTATCAAACACGCTCACGATTTGCCTGCTGGAAGGCCTCAAGCCTAGCACACCCAAACCTCCTTTACACCCCTCCTTCCAACCTTTCCTAGGCGCACCCCTTACAACGCCTTCCTTCCACTACAGACTGATACATCTTGAGTTTTCTGTTTCGCTCCATTTCTCTCCACATGTCCGAACCCACCTCCAACAACCATACCTCAGCCCTTGGGACAACAGTTTTGGTAATCCGCAACTCCTCCTAACTATTCCAATTACGACATTCTCTGCATTATATTCACACCAACATTGCTCTCAGACATGTCATCTCCACTGCCTCCAGCCACTTTTCTCGCTGCAACCTTCATCACACCATGATTCACAACCACATATAAGAGCGTTGGCAAAACTGTACTCTCATACATTCCCCTCTTTGCTCCAAGGACAAAAGTTCTTTGTCTCCACAGACTTCCTAAGTGCACCACTCACCTTTCCCATCATCAATTCTATGATTCTCTCATCATTTTCATAGATCCATCCACGCTGACACGGTCCACTCCCATTGATATTGAATACATTCACCTCCTCCATACTCTCTCCCTACAATCTGATATCACAATCCTTTCATCACATAATCTTTTTGTTATCCTCATACCTTAACTCTTTCCTGTATTACACTTTCAATTTTCTTCTTTTGCACTCCCTACCAAATTCATCAAACATTCTCTGAAACTTTCTTCAGAATCTACAAAGAGCACAGGTCTTCAGCAAAGGAGCATCTGTGACAACTCCCACTTTATGTGTGATTCTTTATCTTTTAACTAACCACGCCTCTTGCCAAGACCACTCGCATTTATTCTCTTACAAACCCCATCTATAAATATAATAATAACAACCATGGGGACATTCCACTCATCCTTGTCTAGGCCTACTTTTATTGGAAATATTTTCTCCTCTTTCCTAACTTTAATCAATTGAGCCTCACTTTCCTCACCGCCACTATCCTAAATTCTTCACTGCTTTTAGTAACTACCTCAGACACCTTACTCCTGCAACCTTCTGCCTCATTGCCCCCTATTCCACCCTGTCATACGCCTTTTCAAATCCATTAAATGCCACGTAAGCCCTCTATAGCCTTACTAAATACTGTTCACTTATCTGTTTACAACTGTAAACAAACTGGTCCACACACCCACCTACCTTTCTAAAGCCTCCTTGTTTCATCTGCATATCCTATTCTCCGCCTTTACTCTTAATTCTTTCAATAATAACTCTACCATACACTTTGCCAGGTATACTCAACAGACTTATCCCACTATAATTTTTGCATTCTCTTTTATCCCCTTTGCCTTTATACTAAGGAACTATGGCTTGCTCTCTGCAATTCCCTAGGTACACTTTACCCTCTTCTCCAATACAATTTATTATAATTTTGCAATAATAAGGGACAATGTGTGGTTGTAAAATATTTATTTTTAGTTTGAAGATTAAGTGGTAGTGTGGAGTTACTAAAAGTATTATCCTGAGGGCTGAGTAGGGGATGTTGAGGTGGTCTGGTCATTTAGAGAGGATGGAGCAAAATAGGATGACTTGGATGGAGTATAAATCTGTAGCAGAGGGAAAGCAGGGTTGGGGTCACCCTAGGAAAGGATGGAGAGAGGGGGTGAAGGTTTTGTGTACAAGGGGCTTGAACATCCAGCAGGCATGTATGAGAGTGTTAGACAGGAGTGGAGGCAAATAGTTTCTCGGACCTGATGAGCTGTTAGTGAGAGCATGGTAACATTTTGTGAAGGGATTCAGGGGAAACCATTTAGCTGGATTGGAGTCCTGGAGGTGGGACGTACAGTGCCTGCACTCTAAAGGAAGAATGGGGATATTTGCTGTTCAAAGGTATCATCTGCACTGTCATATTTGCGCAACTCTGGCAAGACAATGATAGTGTGAATGATGGTGAAAGCTCTTCTTTTTCGAGTCACCCTACCATGGTGAAGACGGCCAGTGTTTAAAAAAAAAAAATTTACCGACAGTTGACATTCTCAGAGCCAGTTTCTCATTTTTTGATAGAAGTGATCCAAGCATGTCCCATCAACTTTCATCTTAAACTTTTAAAGTTCCTGTTTAGGAATGGAAATACCTCAAGCTCAATTTTCTAATCCTCTGGATTTTACATACTTAAATCATCCACTTGTGACTTTCCACAACATGCATACATACAAACATACATATACAAACATACTCAACAGAACAATGCAACATTATAAAATATTTTTCAAAGCAGTATCTTAACTCATTCCACAAAATGAACTTGTCCCGGAGTAATGTCATAGAATTAGGGATCTATTTTATTTCTATGGTACAGGTGAAAAAATAGTGCTCATTAAATATCACAGCTAAAAAATAAACAATAAAATCTCATGACCAGAGATACCAATGAAACAGATAAAGAGACATGACAGAAAGGCCCCATACGAACAATTCCTAAAAAATAGTCTGAGCGGTTTAGAAAATGAAACACAAAGTTTGGCAAGATGAGCAAAGTGAATTTCAATTTAGCATCTGCCATATGGAGCCGTAATGATTAATGATGCTGTGAGAAACAACAAAGATTGCCCTGGGTGATACAGAAAACAGTGACCCAATCTTACTCAAAAGGTTACTTGCCTTCTCCTACTGTACATGTAAACTAAATCAACCTTAGGGCAATCAAGGGGTCACCATTTGATGTACTACCTACCCACTGAAATTATGTTAACAGTTGGGCCAGTGACCAATTCCATAATATTTAGAGTGCTAGCTTACCCTGGAGGGGTTGGAGGTCGTTTGTAGCCAAATTTTGTATCTGTGCAATTCCGAGAGAAATGACCCAACTCTCCACACTGGTAACAACGCAAATTAGGATCATAACCTCCTCTCATACGGCCTCCACGTACACGGGGCCTTGCCTGTGTAACCTTGATCCGACAGTGACCAATCATTCTGAAAGAAAATATTTATTTAATATCAAAAACAATAAATTTAGAAACTTTCTTATTAGGTAAACAATGCAACTATGTGATTATGGTTCTGAGTACCATAATACAGTGCATTAAAAAAGCTTTATAGAGGCACTCCTCACTCAAGGACCGAGTTTCGTTCCTACAAGGTCATTAAGGGAATTAGTCAATAAGTGACATTTCAAGCATACTGTACTGGTAGTGGGTTTGTGTCAACCATATACAGCACCATTTACAACATTTTTAGTATATTTTTAAATGTTTATAATGTACTGCATACTGTAATAAACAGAATAGAGGAAATCAGCTCTAATCCACATTACTTAGGTTTGCATACTGTAAATACACGTACTTCAACTGTTTGGAGATCTGGTCCTAAGTCCAAGCAGTCGTTAAACAGGTAGGCTAAGTGGGGAGGCTGTATAACCTTACTGTTAATATTCTGTCATTGCCTCTGACATTGATGACTTGTATGTACTTGGGCATGGAATCTGCTAGATACAAAATAAGCAATATCCATAGACCCATATCTTCATCAGCTTCCCTTTAAGCTTTGGTAATGACAAGGCTGCTCTCCTTCTTAGATCCTTCATCTTGTGCAAAGCATTTTCTACCAGATTTAAGTCTGGGCTATTACAGGGCCTGTTAAGCACATTAATATTGCTATCACTTAATTATTTTTAACTATTTGAGATGAGTGACAGTGTTCGTTACTTTGGTGGGAAAAAATATTGTAGTGAATGTCAAATTGCACACGCATGCACACGCACACACACACGCACATCAGGCCTGGTCTGACAAATGGTTCCTGGAGTTTAACCCCCACCCCTCCTCCAGTGCAAAATTATGAAGCTTGGGGAAGGACAAAAAAGACACAAAGTACAAGCTCAGGGAAGGAAAAAGCTGTAAAGCCTCACTCAAGGAGAAGGACCATGGGGTATATATCATACCAATCATATCACAAGGTGCACATCAACCAATTAACTGCTGCAGTAAATGCATGTCTCACAAATCTAAGATGGTCTTTCAATATCTAAGTGAGGAGTCATTCATGACACTGTACACCCTGTACATCAGGCCTGTATTGGAGTATGCAACACCAGTATGGAACCCACACCTGGTCAAATATATATAAAGAAACTGTATAAAATGTAGAGGTTTGCAAGAAGACTAGTCTCAGAGCTAAGGGATATGTCCTATGAGGAGAGGTTATGGGAATTCAACCTGATGACACTGGAGGACAGGAAAACTAGAGGGGAAACAATAACAACATACAAGATACTGAGAGGAACCGACAGGGTGAACAGGAATAGAACGTTTCAGAGATGGGATACAGGAACAAGAGGGCACAACTATTTGTTGAAAACTATCTGAGTCACAGGTATGTTATGAAGTATTTCTTTAGCCTTAAGAGTTTTTGTCAATGGTGCAATACTTGTGTAATATATGTAATAATACCATTTATAAATGGTGTTGGCACACATATATACTACACAAGTATTGCACCACTGACATTGTCTAGAAGTGGAATAATCTGGAGAGTGAAGTGAGAGAGGTGAGATCCATACACAGCTTTAAGAAGAGGTACAGTAAGGCTCTTGAAGCCAGGAGTGTGTGGACCTAGTAGCAACCAGCAAAGAGGCAGAGGCTAGGAGTTATGATTCAATCCCGTGCAACAACATAGATGAGTAAACACACAAAAAATCAAAACACACAAAGAAAACACATACAAAGCACACATGCGCAACACACATGCAAAGCACACACATAAAACACACACACAAAACACGCACAACACAACACACCTGGTCAGCATGTCAAGAAATTAGAGAAAGTCCCGGAGATATGGGGCATGTTCTACAAGGAGAGATTAAGGGACTCAACCTGACAACACTGGAGGATGCAGAGGACACATCAAAATAATGACGTATGAAATACTGAAAGGAACTGACAAGGCAGACAGGGACAATGTTTCAGCGATGGAACATATGAACAAGGGGAACACAACCCAAAGTTGAAAACTCAAATGAGTCATAGGGATATTATGAAGTATCTCTTCAGCCTTAGAGTTGTCAGGAAGTTGAAACAATCCAGAGAGTGTAGTAGTGGAGGCATGATCCATACAAAGCTTTAAGAAGAGGTATGATAAAGTTCTTGGAGCAGAGTGGACCTAGTAGCAACCAGTGAAGAGACAGGAGAGGAGCTGCGACTTAGCCACTGCAACCACATACAGGAGAGTACATACAAAAAAACATGGCACTCGACACACAAAAAGAATAGGTTTAATCAGAGATGCAAAGGCAAATCACAGAAGTATGAAAGTTTGTTTAAACACTATGGAAAGCAAAGGACAAATGAGAACAGAGAAGTGAGCAGATTAGCCAGTAACTAGTACCTTGAAACTGAGCTCAAAACTGCAGAAATGTTCGATTTTTGCCAATGTTCAAGAGTAAACAGATCACACCACACGTCCAATACATATCAACTGGTGGGTTTAACGTGCTTTCACAAATGCGCTGATATTATTGATACCATTTTTACAATAATGCAGTAGTCTGCACAACAGTAAATCTTCTATTTTTTGTGAATAAAAATTCAAAATAGAAAGCAAACATAATACAAGAGGGGCCTGGAGACATGACTAATGAAGAGAAAATGTTATTTTAGTGCTTGGACTGTCTGCACTGTTTATTCTGGCCCTATTTTGAAATTGACCTTACTTGAATTGAGTATGAAATTGGCCAAATTACCAATTTCTCATCACTTTATTGGGTAGCTGAAATCAGTAAATGGGCAGTTTATTGTACTGAATCGATAGAACAAATGGAGTTCTAGCAAAATAGCTATGAGTTTGGTCAACTGGAACAATGGAAATGACTGAAAATAGGGCTCAAAGTGGGCAAAATCAGCGATGTGTAAATATCGCCGAGCGCGCTAACTTCATGAGAGCATAATTCCGTAAGCATTTTATCAAATTTTGTTTTTTGGCGTCATTAACATCGGGAAAAGATTATCATTCCATAAGAAAAAAATATTTATTTTTCGAATATTTTTCAACAGAACGAGAGTTTAGAATCAGGGATCCTGACAAAAAAAAAAAGTACTGCATACAGTGTTATTAACCCTTTTGAGGTCTGTGCCATAGTACTACAGGTTTGAGCTCAGGGTCTGTGCTCTAAAACTACACAAGGTCAGCTCACTCAGATAAGTAGCAAGCAGTAAGTTTGGGCCTAGATATGAGAGAATGGGTCTATGCAGTGAGTGTGCACAACAAAAAAAATCCTGCCCCCCACAGTGCATGAGGAAAAAAACTACCATGAATTTGGTTTAAAATAGACTTTGCAGTGCATTTTCGGATGGTTTTTGTGGTTGTATTCCCAGTTCCTTGGTATCATTTGATAGTATAAACAATATATTACACTGCAAGATAAAGTAGCTTGAAATTGAACTCAAAGTTCCAGAGAACACAAATTTCATCACTTGTCCAATACATGTCCAACTGGTCAGTCTAATACACGTTCATGAATACATTGACATTTCTTATACAATTATTACAATTCTTAAACAATTATTACGTGGTAGCCTGCATACTGGTAAATCTTTTGTGTGTGAAATGTAAGACAGGAGATCCCTGGGAACAATACTAATGAAGAGAGGAAATGTTTTAGTGTCAGGAATGTCTACATTGTTTATTGCAGACCATATTTGTGTAATATTGGCCAAATTACCGATTTCTGATCATTTTATTGAAATACAGTAGACTCTCATAATACACGGATTTATTTAGCACGTTTTGGTTATTACACTATTGAAAAATTGCAGGATAATTTCATACAACACTGCATAAAATTAACTTAACAGGGTTCGGTTTGAGGGAGGGGAAAAAAATTTGGAGCATCGCCCGCAGGATATTTCCCTAGCTCAGGCTACTAAAATGGCATTCCCACAATGCACCACTGATCCCCGATTTTTTTTTATACTGAGCACACTGACCACGCAGACCCAATTTTCAAATCCCACTTGATTTGAAGCCGCTAGAATTCTGGCATAGTACTACGACACCAACACCGGCTCGTAGGCCGTAGTACTATGGCACCAACAGTGAGTCAACTGTGAAGCAGAAATCTGAATAAGGGAGCTGTGGCCTGTGTATGTGTAAGGAGTATGGTACAGCATTTGTAGAAGCAAGGGTTATTACTAGAGCACATCATCAAAGGTAATCAAAGGTACTCGACTGTACCTTTGATTACCTTTGATAAGTTCCAAGAGTTTTTCTACTCCTTGAGCCCAGCCATGGGCCAAGCTTGTATTGTACTGTACTGTACTTTTACAAAATAGTTAAGCACCTATTTTAACTCTTTCAGGTACAGGTAATACTGAATTGTACTCTTAGTTTATTATTAGTTATGGCCAGTAGACCATCAATACAGCAAACTAAGTATTGTTTTACTTGGCATTTGTCCATGTTCAGTAGTCAATTGATTAAACAGATGATGTACACTTAATTGAAGCACTCAATATAACGTATTTTCACTAAAGTGGACATTCCTTCTCACCTATTAGTCTGTTTTATCGAGAATTTACTGTATACAAATGAGCAACCAATAATACCTTAAAAACTTACATGCCATCTGTTTCCTTGAGAGCCCGGTCTGCATCTTTCTGGTGAGCATAGACAACAAATGCAAAACATGGAGGATTGCGAGCCATCCAAATCTCTCGAAGACGACCATACTTCTCGAAAACTCTCTCCAGGTCTCGTTTCCGAGTGTCAACATCTGAAAAAAACACCAGCATTGTAATAAAATATTCAAGGCCAAAAGAAGCTATACATATTTAACAGTTTCCTTAACTTTATAAATGACTTTTACAATGAAATCTGATATCGATTAATTGTACATGGAAAGAAAATGTGTGATTTTTGGGAAACTTGGTGATCACTTAGCACTTACAATTATGAACAGTAATAACACAAAATGCTAAGCAATAAGTGAACATACGAAAATAAACGAATGGATTTCTCAGTTAAAAACAGTAGGGGAGTAGTAGATGGGGAGCTGGAGGTGCTGGGTAGATGGCAGGAATATTTTGAGGAACTTTTAAATGTTGATGAAGAAAGGGAAGCAGTAATTTCATGTACTGGTCAGGGAGGTATAACATCTACATTTTAAGAGTGAAAAGCAGGATGTGAGTGTGGGGGAGGCATGAGAGGCATTACGTAGAATGAAAGGGGGTAAAGCAGCTGCAACTGACGAGACCATAACAGAAATGGTAAAAGCAGGGGTGGATAGTGTTGGAGTGGTTGGAATTTTTGTTTAATACATGTATGAAAAAGGGGAAGGTACCTAGAGACTGGCAGAGAGCATGTATAATTCCTTTATATAAAAGGAAGGGGGACGAAAAGAGATTGTAAAAATTATAGGGGAATAAGTTTACTGAGTATACCAGGAAAAGTGTACGGTAGGGTTATAATTGAAAGAATTAGAGGTAAGACAGAATGTAGGATTGCGGATGAGCAAGGAGGTTTCAGAGTGGGTAGGGGATGTGTAGATCAAGTGTTTACATTGAAGCATATATGTGAACAGTATTTAGATAAAGGTAGGGAAGTTTTTATTGCATTTATGGATTTAGAAAAGGCATATGATAGAGTGGATAGAGGAGCAATGTGGCAGATGTTGCAAGTATATGGAATAGGTGGTAAGTTATTAAATGCTGTAAGAGTTTTTATGAGGATAGTGAGGCTCAGGTTAGGGTGTGTAGAAGAGAGGGAGACTACTTCCCGGTAAAAGATAGGTCTTAGACAGGGATGTGTAATGTCACCATGGTTGTTTAATATATTTATAGATGGGGTTGTAAAGGAAGTAAATGCTAGGGTGTTCGGAGAGGGGTGGGATTAAATTTTGGGGAATCAAATTCAAAATGGGAATTGACACAGTTACTTTTTGCTGATGATACTGTGCTTATGGGAGATTCTAAAGAAAAATTGTAAAGGTTAGTGGATGAGTTTGGAATGTGTGTAAAGGTAGAAAGTTGAAAGTGAACATAGAAAAGAGTAAGGTGATGAGGGTGTCAAATGATTTAGATAAAGAAAAATTGGATATCAAATTGGGGAGGAGGAGTATGGAAGAAGTGAATGTTTTCAGATACTTGGGAGTTGACGTGTCGGCGGATGGATTTATGAAGGATGAGGTTAATCATAGAATTGATGAGGGAAAAAAGGTGAGTGGTGCGTTGAGGTATATGTGGAGTCAAAAACGTTATCTATGGAGGCAAAGAAGGGAATGTATGAAAGTATAGTAGTACCAACACTCTTATATGGGTGTGAAGCTTGGGTGGTAAATGCAGCAGCGAGGAGACGGTTGGAGGCAGTGGAGATGTCCTGTTTAAGGGCAATGTGTGGTGTAAATATTATGCAGAAAATTCGGAGTGTGGAAATTAGGAAAAGGTGTGGAGTTAATAAAAGTATTAGTCAGAGGGCAGAAGAGCGGTTGTTGAGGTGGTTTGGTCATTTAGAGAGAATGGATCAAAGTAGAATGACACGGAAAGCGTATAAATCTATAGGGGAAGGAAGGCGGGGTAGGGGTCGTCCTCGAAAGGGTTGGAGAGAGGGGGTAAAGGAGGTTTTGTGGGCAAGGGGCTTGGACTTCCAGCAAGCATGCATGAGCGTGTTAGATAGGAGTGAATGGAGACAAAATGGTAACTTGGACCTGACGATCTGTTGGAGTGTGAGCAGGTAATTTTTAAAGGGGAAGGGATTCAGGGAAACCGGTTATTTTCATATAGTCGGACTAGGTCCTGGAAATGGGAAGTGCAATGCCTGCACTTTAAAGGAGGGGTTTGGGATATTGGCAGTTTGGAGGGATATGTTGTGTATCTTTATATGTGTATGCTTCTAAACTGTTGTATTCTGAGCACCTCTGCAAAAACAGTGATAATGTGCTAGTGGTGAAAGTGTTGAATGATGATGAAAGTATTTTCTTTTTGGGGATTTTCTTTCTTTTTTGGGTCACCCTGCCTCAGTGGGAGACGGCCGACTTGTTGAGAGAAAAAAAAAATATATATAATACTATATAATAATAATGTACTACATATAACAGTTATAATAGACGGCTTCAAAAGGCCGTTACTAGATGGCAGTGGTTACCACAACAAAGAGGAAGCAGTTGTGGTCGCCTCCACCTGTTATATAATGACATTTTATTCATTCTAGAGTATATATCATGTTTCTATGTTATTTTTATTGTTTGTCGTGTCATATTAGATGAACTGTGATATATAAATAAGCCGTATAGATGATATTAGTGAAATCATTCATGAATTATTTTGCCCGCGGTCTCCAGACAAACTCTCATCCACCACCGACACCGCCCATACCACTACATGAATGACGTAGTTTATTCATTCTAGAGTATATATCATGTTTCTGTGTTATTCATATTGTTTGTTATGTCATATTAGATGAAGTGAGATAGATAAATAAGCCGTAGAGTTGATACTGGCGAAATAATTGAAGTACAGAATTCCACTGGAACCAATTAATTGCATTTAAATTAATTTAAATGAGGAAACCTGACTCTGCAAACGAGCAAGGACATGGAACGGATTAAACTCGCAAGTAGAGGTTCCACTGTATATTTAAAATATGAAATAACTTTAAAACACTTGAAATTTTGGAAAATTTCCAGACATAATGGAGAGAATCGGTGCTCACGGAGAATGTAGGTGGGGCAGAGTGACCATGTTACAAAGTCAGGCGGGGGAAGCCATGTAGCAAGTTTTGATCATAATTTTAATTATCCATATTAGCAGACTACCCTAAGGCAAAAGTCATTAACCCTTTGAGGGTCGACAGGCCCTCTCCAAAACTCGTTCTCAGGGTCGGCCAAATTTAAAAAAAAAAAAAAAATTATTTTCTCTTATGAAAAGATAGAGAATCTTTTCCCGATCATAACGACACCAAAAGTTTGAAATTTGATAGAAAACTTACGGAATTATGCTCTCGCAAAGTTAGCGGTCTCGGCGATGTTTACGGATCGGCGATTTTGCCCACTTTGAGCCCCATTTTCGGCCAATTTCACTGTACTAGTCGACAAAAAACATGAATATTTGGCTAGAACTACATTTTTTCTATCGAATGGGTGCAAGAAACCACCCATTTATAAATTCAACTATCCAGTACAGTGGTCAGAATTTAGCAATTTTGCCAATTTCACACAAATTTCAAAAGATGCCAATTTCGGAATGGGGTCCAGAATAAACAAGAAAGACATTCCTGGCACTAAAATGACATTTCCTCTAGTCATTAGTCACGTCTCAAGGCCCCTCTTATATTCTTTTGCTTTCCACTTTGAATTTTTATTCTCACAAAAATATAAGATTTACTGTTATGCAGACTACTGCATTAGTGTAAAAAATGGTATAAATATTATTGGTGCACTTGTGAAAGAATATTAGACTCACCAGTTGACGTGTATTGCACGCTTGGCACGATTTGTTTACTTTTGAAGTTTGGTAAAAATCGAACATTTCTGCTATTTTGAGCTCAATTTCAAGGCACCTTTCATTGTAAAACCAGTCAAAATCATCTCAATTTCAGTAATATGTCTTCCATTCTATAAAATGAGACCAAGAAAACTAGAATACAACAATAAATACCATACGAAAATACACTGCAAAGTCGCTGATTTATTAAAAAAAAATGGAAAAAGTTTTTTTTTTCTCATTATGCACTGTGCGCTGCAGGATTTTTTTTAGACCGTGCACACTGACCACATAGACCCATTCTTTCATATGAAGGCCTACCAGCTTTCTCCCACTAGATTTGAGGTCGCTAGAATTTATGAGTACTAGTACGTCAAAAACCCCTACGCGTAAGACGTACTAGTACGACGAAAACCCTCAAAGGGTTAAACAGGGCCCTACTGTATAGAAGAGGTCTGAGGCATGACTAATGAACAGAGGAAATGTTTTCGTGCCAGGAATGTCTACACTGTTTATTCTGAACCCTTATTTATAAACTGTCAATTTTTGGTTTGAAACTGGCCAAATTACCAATTTCTAATCACTTTATTTGGTAGTTGAAATAGGCAAGTAGGCAATTTTTTGTGCTCAATCGACAGAAGGAATACTAGAGAAATAGCTGTGAGTTTGGTCGACTGGAACAGTGGAATTGACTGAAAATAGGGCTCAAAGTGGACGAAATCACTGATGCGTAAATATTGCCGAGATCACTAACTTTGCGAGAGCCTAATTCCATAAATTTCATATTTTTTATTTCATTACCTTTGGAAAAAGATTCTCTATCATTCCAAAAGAAAATTTTTCTTTTATTTTTGAAAACTCTTCAACCCCGAGAGCATTCTCAGGATCAGGGGTCTACACCCCGAAAGGGTTTCAAGACACAAGCTTATCCAACAGTGAATGGGAAAAAAGCAGAGAATTCTAAGAGCAGAATTTAGAAGACAGAATGGGGTTAGCACAGATATAATTCAGAGCTGAGGAGGGGTTGCTGAGGTGGAATGTAATGTGAGCAAGTTAGCATACATGAAGGGACTCAAGGAAATCAGTTAGGAGTACTTTAATCCTGGAACTGGGAATATACATAGTGCCGGCACTCAGAGTGAGAGGATGCTGTAGTTCAGATTTTTCAGAGGATAACAGGAATTGTGATATCTGCACACTCTTGGCAAGACAACTATTGAACAAATAATGGTGAATGACAGAGTATTTCCTTTTTTTTTTTTTTTTTTTTTTTTTTTGTCACCCTTTCTTGGTGAGACAGCCAGAGTTAGAAAAGAAAAACATTGAAGTATCATTTCCAAACTATAAAGGGTAAAATAAAAAAAAATTATAAAATTCTAAAAAATCAATAGTCACAATGCAAAAATTCATCTTTAACTTTGAAATAAATTTTTAATGCTTAGTGTAAAATTCAACAGAATGATTTAAATAAAACTGCCACCTGAAAAAAACAGTTACCTAGTTCTGCTACATGAAGCCGAGCACCATCTACTGGTGTCCCACTCCTAGACCTTGACCTTGAACGCCTTCTAGAACGAGATCTTGACCTCCTCCGAGATCTGTCATGGGGAAAAAAATTTACGTGAATAAATTTTACTAAATAAGAACCTACATCTATCTCTGATTCCTTACTCTTACTAGGTACTCCCTCTCTTCAGATAATTTCTTAGAAGTTACTGGCAAATGTTTATTACAGTGATAACTGCAACTCCATGATCTCTGTATCATGACCCTTCCTCCTAGTTAATGGTTAGATCTGTCTAAATGTCAGTCAAGTGCTTGCAGTCTGATTAGTAGTTTGTAGGTTTTAAAAGCAGCATTTAATTATCAAAATATATGTATCAATGTAATTTTCAAATGCTGTATTAAGGATGTACTAAAATTTTTATAGGATTGTAGAGAATTTGAAAAAGATATGAGAGAAAAAAAAGGGGGGTATTTTTAACCTTTTCACTGTCCAGACCCCCCAAATGAAACATTTTCAATGAGAGGAAAAAAAAAAAAACTTCTGAAATGATAATCTTTTTCTGAAGGGAATGACACCAAAAGTACAAAAACTGATGGAAAATTTACGAAAATATGCAGGTGCAAAGTTATCCGTTTTGGTACATATTATTCACCGGCCAATTCCATTGTTCCAGTCAACCAAATTCTTAGCTAATATGCTACTTAGTATGCCTTCCATTCTAATGACTGATGTACAAGAAACTGCCCATTCAACTATTTCTACTATCCTAAAAAGTGTTCAGAATTCAGTAATTTGGCCAATTTCACAAAAAAAAAAAAAGGCCACTTAAAAAATAGTCCATATTAAACTATGTAGACATACCCGATACATTTCTTCTGTTCATTAGTCGTGTCCCTAGACTTCTATATTACGTTTGCTTTCCATTTTAAATTCTTATTCACACAAATATATAAGATTTACCATTTCTCAAATAATAAAATATAACCAGGAATGATTGTTCATGATTTACAGCCTAAAAATAACCGAATTAAGCCATCTGATTTATAAACAAAAATGTTGCCGAGATAGTTTCCAATATTTAAACTTCTCTTCATTAAACTGAACCCTTTCACTGTCACACACAACTGCCAGTGAGGCCAGGGTTCCTGACAGAGCTCTACGTCATGAGCTCAGCTCACTCAGGAAAGTTATGAGTGACAAATTTTAGCCTAGACATGAGAAAATGGGTTTGTGGCGAGTGGTATCAAGTAAAAAAAAAAAAAAAATCCTGCCCCCATGTATTGGAGGATGGAAGAACAAACATATGTACAGTTTAAAATAACAACTAATGTGTTTTTTTGATGCTTTTTATAGTTTTACTGGCAGTTTCTTGGCACCACTTCATAAAATGGAATCCTTCCCTTAAATAGAGGATTTTGATTGATTTCAGGTCTGGTAGTAGTTTGAAACCGAGCTCAAAGTAGTGGAATCATCAGATTTTTGCAGGTACTATTATTATTAATACATCAGCCGATTCCCACCAAGGCAGGGTGGCCCGAAAAAGAAAAACTTTCATCATCATTCACTCCATCACTGTCTTGCTAGAGGGGTGCTTTACACTACAGTTATAAAACTGCAACATTAACACCCCTCCTTCAGAGTTTGAAATAGAAGTCAAGTGTTATGTGGTAGAGGTCTGGGGAAGTGACTAATAAATAGAGGAAATGTTTTAATGCCAAAAATGTCTATACTGTTTATTATGGACTATTTTTTAACTGGAACTTTTTGAATTGTGTGAAACTGGCCAAATTACTGAATTCTAAACACTTATAGGAAAGTAGAAAAAGTTGAATGAGCAGTTTCTTGTGCTCAGTCACTAGAATGGTAGGCAAAGTAGCAAAATAGCTAAGAATTTGGTCGCCGGGAACAATGGAATTGGCCTAAAACAGGATTCAAAGTAGGTGAAATTGTCAGTGCATAGAATGAGCCAAGACTGCTAATTTTGCCCCTGCACCCCCCAGCCATCCACTCCTGCCCCCGCACCCCCCAGCCATCCACTCCAGCCCCCGCACACCCCAGCCATCCACCCCAGCCCCCACACACCCCAGCCATCCACTCCAGCCCCCGCACACCCCAGCCATCCACTCCAGCCCCCGCACACCCCAGCCATCCACTCCAGCCCCCGCACACCCCAGCTATCCACTCCAGCCCACAAACCCCCAAAAAAGTTGCAAAGGTTAGTGGACGAGTTTGGGAGGGAGTGTAAAGGTAGAAAGTTGAAAATGAACATGGATAAGAGTAAGGTGATGAAGGTATCAAACAATTTAGATAAAGAAAATTTGGATATCACATCGGAGGGAGGGAGTATGGAAGAAGTGAACGTTTTCAGATATTTGGGAGTCGACTTGTCAGCAGATGCGTTTATGAAGGATGCAGTTAACAACAGAATTGATGAAGAAAGGAGAGTGGTGCATTGATGTTGATGTATCAGTGGAGACAAAAAACATTATCCATGGAAGCAAAGAAGAGAATGTATGAGAGTATAGTGGTACCAACACTCTTATATGGGTATGAAGCATGGGTTATAAATGCTGCAGTGAGGAGGAGGCTGGAGACAGCAGAGATGTCATGTCAAAGGGCAATGTGGGACGTAAATATTATGCAGAGAATTCGTAGAGTGCAAATTAGGTGGTGTGGAGTTCAAATATTAGTCAGAGGGCTGAAGAAAGTTTGTTGAGGTGGTTTGGTCATTTAGAGAGAATGAAACAAAGTAGAATGACTTGGAGAGAGTATATATCTGTAGGAGAAGGAATGCAGGGTTGGGATCATCCTCGAAGGGGACAGACAGTAGGGGTAAAGGAGGTTTTGTGGACAAGGGACTTGGACTTCCAGCAAGCATGCATGAGCATGTTAGATAGGAGTGAATGGAGATGAATGGTTTTAGGACCTGACGAGCTGTTGGTGTGAGAGCAGGGTAATATTTTGTGAAGGGATTCAGGGAAATCAGTTAGTCAGACTTGAGTCCTGGAAATGGGAAGTACAATGCCTGCACTTTGAAGGAGGGGTTTGGGATACTGGCAGTTTGGAGTGACATCTAAACTGTTGTATCTGAGCACCTTGACAAAGACAGTGATCATGTATGAGTGATGGTGAAAGTGCTGAATGATGATGAAAGCTTTTTTTTTTTTCTTTCTTTTTGGGCCACCCTGCCTCAGTGGGAAACAGCAGTGTTAGAAAAAAAAAAAAGTTACTGGGGGGGGGGGGGTTAAGTGGCTTATGACCACCAGTGGAGGACATTTTAAAATCCTGTGTAGACATTTTCTTGTGGGCATCAAAAAAGTTGGAAGAGTTGCTGCATCATCTGAACTAACAATTTTAATTAATTTCTTTTTTCATTATTTTACACATTTTTTGCTGCATACTTGAAAGTACTGGAGCCTTAATTCATCTTCCTAAAATAAAAAATTAACTTTTACCATTCTTGATACTGTTATCTTTATAGAACTGTGAGCTAGCTCCTACTGCACTGAGGATCTGGAAAGAAGTCACCCATGAGCCATACACAAATCCCTAGTGGTAATAATTGTACTCTTACCCATACACGTCTTTAATTGCATCGCAGATAGTATACAAAAGTTATGCCCTGTGCACAAAATTTTCGAACAAACATGTAATACAATAGCTTGATTTCATGAATTTTAACCCAACCACATGCAAAACTACACTTTGCACAAGAATATTTTATTTAGAAATAATTTAATTTTCTCATTCACCTGGAGCCTCGAGACCGAGATCTTGATCTTGACCTCCTCCTGCTTCTCGAGTGTGAGCGTCTAGTCCTTGAACGGGAACGGCGCTTACTTCGAGAGCGAGAACGTGACCTCCTTGATCGAGACTTTTTCTTGGATGTATTCGAGCTTGATTTTTGGTCCTTGCTGGAATCTTGGTCTCTTGGCTTGCTCTTACTGCGACTACGTGACATACGTTTCTCATCAGTCTCCCCGCTCCATTCAACCAATTCCTTGTTTTCTGGACTCCTTGATCGACTGTATTCCCGCCGATTGTCAGGTTTCTCATTATCAGAGTCTCCCCTCATGCCATTTTCCTTCCTGTCAGGGGATTGCTCTTCATCAGAGCCACGAAGCCTGCTGTCTCTCATCCCATTATCAGAATGACGACTCCCTTCGGCTGAACGAGAACGAGATCGGGATCTTGACATACGATCATACCTCCCTCCATCACTGTCATCTCTATCATCTGCTTCACGCCTGACACCATTTTCTTCTTCAGAGTCGGAAGACATTTCTGAAATAAAAGATGCAGTAAATAACATACAATACAATACAAGGGTGAAGACACGTGTGAGCATTAGTTTTGAAAACGTAAATTTGTTGCGAGGGGTTCCTCGATTCTGCCTGTGCCAGTACGTGTTACTTGTTCTGCCACTCCACCTAGACAGTGTGTCAGACACTGGGGGACAGTGTCTTATACTGTGTATTTGAAGTATGGTCACGTGACCCCTACCTATGTTTAATAGCCGAGGTGTACACGAGTTAAAGTACATAACTGGTGTATTTACACTCCTGACAAATTTGTAAACAGTGGATATTTCACTGACCATTAAATAGTACTACTTCATAATATGTAACATGCATATGTAACACCATATCCTTCCAAACTCCAACTCTCCAGTTTACTTCTAATTCTTGCAAAGTCATCTACAAATAGCAGCTGTGATACCTCCTACTTTCTATCAAAATTATTTTTAACCCTTTCAGGGTCCAAGGCCAAAATCTGAAGTGGTGCCCTAGTGTCAAAGAATTTTCAAACAAAAAAAATTTATTTTTTCCTATGAAATGGCAGAGAATCTTTTTGTGAAGGTAATAAAACAAAAAGTACGAAATTTGATGGAAAATTGACGAAATTACGCTCTCGCGAATTTTGATGAGTCAGCGATATTTGCGAATCGACGATTTTACCAACTTTGACTCCCATTTTAGGCCAATTACATTATTCCAGTCAAACAAATTCTTAGCCATTTCACTAGTATTACTTCTATTCTATCGATTGAGCACAAGAAATCGCCAAGTCAACTATTTCAACTACAAAATCAAGTGATCGGCAATTGGTAATTTGGCCAATTTAACACAAAGTTCAAAATATTCCAATTTCAAAATAGGGTCCAGAATAAACAATGTAGGTACTCCTGGCACTAAACTAACATTTCCTCTGTTCATTAGTTACATTTTGAGGCTTTACAAATAAATTCCATTTTGATTTTTTATTCACATAATGAATTTTTATTCACACCAAAAAGTAGAAGATTTACTGTTATGCAACATTGTAATAATTGTATAAATATCACCACCTCATTTGTGAATGTATATTAGACCCACCAGCTAGCGTGTATTAGACGTGTGAGACAGTTTGTTTACTCTTGAACATCGGCAAAAATTCAACATTTCCGCTACTTTGAGCTCAGTTTCAAGCCATTTCCAGTGCTAAAACCAATCAAAATCATCTCTATTTCTGTAATACGTCTTCCATTCTATCAAATGAAACCAACAAATCGCAAATACAACTATAAAAAACATACGAAAAAACACTGCAAAGTTGCTGTTTTGATAGAGAATCAAGGCTCCAGTTTTTTTTTTTCATTATACACAGTGTGCTGCAGGATTTGTTTTATGGGGTGCACACATCCCACTAGATGTATTCTCTCATATCTGGCCCAAAATTTTTCCCTCACATTTAGAGAGTGAGCTGAGCTCATGGCGTAGATATACAGTTTGGACCCTGAACGTAAAGCTGTAGATCACGGGACGGACCCCGAAAGGGTTAATACTACACTATTCCTTACTACTAATTTTTTGCCTTTTTTAACCCTTAAACTGTCCAAAAGTAGATCTATGTTCATGCGTTAGCACTCCAACGCAGATCACGTTCGATTTTACATTCTTACTAAAAAAAAAAATTTAAATTTTTCCCCACAAGAAATAATGGAAATCCAATTATAATCCATTTCAGACACCCAGAAGTATTAACAAAAAATATTTTTTTTTAATGATTAAATACTGATATACATACAGAAAACAATGACAAATAAAAATAAAGCACTAAAAAATGGAAAAAAAGAAAAATTTGCATCACACTTACCTTTTAATTAAAAACTCTTAACTTGGATAACAAAACTTTCCTGGAATTTTTTCTCCTGGCTTGGGTTTTGTTTAGTAAAAAAAAAAAAAAAAAATTCCCCCAAAATATTTCTGTAATCTGCACAACCCAATTAACCCCTTAGGGTTTCCGACTTACAAGTATGGGGTTACACACCCGGGTTTTTTTACGTACACACGCCAAAAAATATGCCTTTGATCTAGCGAGAGAAAGCTGGTAGGCCCACATATGAAAGAGTGAGTATGTGGTCAATGTGCACACTATAAAATAAATCCTGCGGCACACAGTGCGTAATGAGAAAAAATAACTCCGGCCATATTTTTTATTTAAAACAGCGACTTTGCAGTGTATTTTTGTATGGTATTTATGGTTGTATTTTAGTTTTCCTGGTCTCATTTTATAGAATGGAAGACATATTACAGAAATTGAGAAGATTTTGATTGGTTTCATAATGAAAAGTACCTTGAAATTAAGCTCAACCTAGCAGAAATGTTCGATTTTTACCAAAGTTCAAAAGTAAACAAATCGTGCCATGCGTCCAATACACATCAACTAGAGCTTAATATTCTTTCACAAGTGCACTGATATTATTTATACCATTTCTACACCATTTCTACACTAACGCAGTAGTCTGCATAACAGAAAATCTTCTATTTTTTGTGAGAATAAAAATTCAGTGGAAAGCAAAATAAATGCAAGGGGGGCCTGGGGATGTGACTAATGAACAGAGAAAATTTTATTTTAGTGCCAGGAATGCCTGTCTTGCTTATTCTGGACCCTATTTGGAAATTGGCATCTTCTGAAATTTGTGTGAAATTGGCAAAATTGCCAAATTCTGACCACTTTATTGGATAGTTAAAATCGGTAAATGGGTGGTTTCTTGTACTCATTCGATAGAAAAAATGGAGTTCTAGTGAAATAGATATGATTTCTGTCGACTAGTACATTGGAAATGGCTGAAAATAGGGCTCAAAGTGAGCGAAATCGCCGATGCGTAAACATTGTCGAGACCGCTAAATTTGCGAGAGCATAATTCGTTAAGTTTTCCATCAAATTTCATACTTTTGGTGTCATTATGATCGGGAGAAGATTCTCTATCATTTGGTAAGACAAAATGATAATTTTTTTTTTTTTCCGAAAAATTCTCGACCCTGAGAACGAGTTTAGGAGAGGGCCTCTTGACCCTGAAAGGGTTAATATTTGAAAATTTACATAATTTACATAATTTCTGCCTGATATAGCCTAAACAATTTGCACAATTAACTAATTTCCCTGTGGTATGAATAGCATTTTGGAACACTGCCATTCCCACGAGCCCTTCCTCAGGCGGGGAAGATGGCAGACCAGAGGCCTAGCTTCTCTCAACGAGCCTCATGAGGGCAGGGAATGGGGCTAGGCCTGGGGACAGTTGGTCCCACAAGATGAGGAGGTACTTGTACCTCCTCCCATGGCAGACATAGGTCTCAGACACTCCCAAGACAGGGAGCCAAGGCCGGGTCACCATCTAGAAATGACCCGAGCAGTTTTGACACACAAACCAAATAATTGACTAAGGCCTCTCTAGGCAGTGCCTACCCAAATACAGTGGAACCTTGACTTACGCGTTTAACTCAATTTACTCATATATCAAATTAATTTTCCTCATTTAAATTAACTGAAAAGCCATTAATTCGTTCCTGCACTCTGGAAAGACGAGGAAAACAGTGGACCCTTGGGTAACAATGCCATCGGATAGCGATAAAATTGGATACCGATGTGTTTTTGCGTAAAAATATTGGCGCGGCAAACAATGAAAAACTCGGTTAAGGACATTCTTCCTGAACGTGTCCACGGAGCCTGAGCCCATATACAGTACTAGGTAGTGTGCCATTGTTTACAAGCCAGGGAGGAGGATTCCACGCATACATGTGATATATTTTGTATTATTCCATTGTTTTTAGTGCTTGTAACTCCTAAATAAGCCACCATGGGCCCAAAGAAAGTTTCTAGTGCCAGCTCTGTGATAAAGAAAGAAACAATAAAATTCAAGAAAAAACTCGTAGCAAAGTGCATCGAACCACCGGTTATCGGCCGGTTTGGTTATCCGCCAACTCGATTATCGGTGGGTTTTTCGGCACCCGCTTATCGGCCGTTAGCTCGGTTATCGGCCGTTTTGGACACGTCCATCCGCCGGCTGGAGAAGCTTGCGCTTCAGTTTGGCTTTGTCTCTCGGTGGCTGAGGAAGCTTCTGCTAATACAGTGGACCCCCGCATACCGTTGGCATCACATAACGTTAAATCCACATAGCGATACATTTTATCACTAAAATTTTGCCTCGCATAGCACTAAAAAACTTGCTCAACGCTATTCGTCCGAGACGCATCTATGCGAGGCCTGAGCCAGCCTCACATGTTCCGCCAGTGGCATTGTTTACAAGCCAGCCTCCGCGGTAACATCCAAGTATAACAATCGGAACATTTCGTATTACAGCGTTTTGGTGATTTTATCTGAAAAATAAGTGACCATGGGCCCCAAGAAAGCTTCTAGTGCCAACCCTGTGGTAAAAAGGGTGAGAAATATTATCGAAATACTGTAATACCATGGTCAACTGCTGCTGCTGCTGTAGCGCCGTCAGCTGCTGCTGCTGTAGCGCCGTCAGCTGCTGCTGCTGTAGCGCCGTCAGCTGCTGCTGCTGCTGTAGCGCCGTCAGCTGCTGCTGCTGCTGTAGCGCCGTCAGCTGCTGCTGCTGCTGTAGCGCCGTCAGCTGCTGCTGCTGCTGTAGCGCCGTCACTGCGGGCTGCTGCGTACGCCGTCAGCTGCTGCGGGCTGCTGTAGCGCCGTCAGCTGCTGCTGCTGCTGTAGCGCCGTCAGCTGCTGCTGCTGTTTGTACGCCGTCAGCTGCTGCTGCTGCTGTAGCGCCGTCAGCTGCTGCTGCGCTGTAGCGCCGTCAGCTGCTGTGTTTGCTGTACGCCGTCAGCTGTTTGCTGCTGCTGTAGCGCCTCAGCTGCTGCTGCTGTAGCGCCGTCAGCTGCTGCTGCTGCTGTAGCGCCGTCAGCTGCTGCTGCTGCTGTAGCGCCGTCAGCTGCTGCGCGCGTACGCCGTCAGCTGCTGCTGCTGCTGTAGCGCCGTCAGCTGCTGCTGCTGCTGTAGCG